CGTCTATAATTCAAGTATTGCTGTCATCCATTCATCCAGCCGAAGTAGGTCTTAACCACCAGGCTCCATCTCGATAGTCATTCTCAGTATACAGTCTTAGCAAAACATCTCCGTTGACAAGATGCCAATTTTGAACTTAGACAGCTGCCATTGCCAATGACGAGACGCATTTCCAAATACGGAATCTCGCAATTTCTGCGGGAAGCACGCAATGAGCATGCGAGCAGTCCAAAACTGCAATGCCAATATCCATCATAGCGTGGTACCCCCATGAAAAGATAAGCACCTAATTTGAACACCCCATTGATAATTTACTTTCTTACCTCTACAATTATAGCCTCGACATCCGATGGTTTAGCATTGCGCATGTATGTAGGACTCTGACACTCTCAAGCGGAAAATGCCCGCTGAATCTGCCTTCTTCAGTGAAGGAACTGGATGCGGCGTCTTCCAGCCTTCATGAACAAGATGAATTGACCTATGTATTGTCTGCCTTCTCTGCACGTTTAGGACTATGTTCGATGATTCTAATCCTGTCATACTCCTTGTTTCTAGTCCCCTGTTTGGCCCACTTGCCAGCGGGTCGGTCCGGCGGATCGCTTGTTCAAATCAATTCTGAGGGGGTTCATTTTTTTTGGTATTTATTAAGTCTGGCGAGATTCTGGTTTCTTAATGGCTGATAAGTGATCAGGCTGTTCCTCAATTTGATGTGGGTGAGTGGGTTGATATTGGAAAGTTGGCTCTTTCATGAGGGGCCGCAGTAAGCACTCCGCAAATCCACAAGAAACATGGAAAGTGACAGGTGATGCAACCTGTGAGTTAGGTACTAATAAGATGACCTTTGCTCACTTGAATACTTCTCTTTTGAAGGAGGCAAATGCCAATATGAGAAAATCATCCATGAATGGTAAAATTAGTATCCTGGATGTTTTGCGGACATCTCTTAGGATGTGACATATATATACATCCTGGTACAACAAGATACGTCCCTTTGGCTTTGTGCACTCCCGACTTCTGGTAATGTATTTGAAAACTGAATCGTTACAATGATGGCGCATCCCTGCCGGCGCCGATACAGCCAGTTCGCTATCTCTCTGAGGTAGGCTGGAGACCGGTTTTCAATCTCAAAGCATACCAGACTAAGACTCACTGCGGCACGAGCACTGCACCTGTATCTGTCAGTTCAACAGCTCAACTGTCCCTGCTGAGAATGCCTTGTCCTAAATAAGATGGAGAAAGCGAAATCTGAAGTTGCACGTTTTTGATACAAATTGTCGCCACCATTAAAGACTGGTCTCCCGAGATCGACTTCGATCAAAACGACCTGGATTGACGTCTGCTAAACTTGACATGTCTCTCTTACCCTGGTATTTCGTATTAAGGGGACCATTCCTGAAGATGAGCTATGCTAACGTTACACTGTCTATTCACAGGTCAGCTGCTGCCCTCAGGCGCTGAGCGCCGAAGCACGAGCCTCTGGATCTGGTGCTGACTGCCAGGGTTGTCTGCAGCCGCAAAAGTACCAAACAAAAGAAGATACTAAGGCTCAAAAGGACGCTTCGAGGTGGCTGCGACTCATCCGGTTAACAAACCGTCGACTATCCTTACACTAGCCAGCTGAAGGTTATAGTGTGGAAACACCGATGAATCCGCTTATACGCGGTCATGATTTCCCCGTCAAGTCAGATGGCAATTTGGGATCGCTTTCGTGGCCACGAGGAAGGAGCACGGCAAAAAGTTAGAGGGGCGTGTTGATCCGAAGCAGTCACAGTTGCCTCATGTTGAATCAGATTGACACAATTGTTGAACGAACGTGCTGATATCACCTTGACGAGTCCTGATGCAATTGGCGAAAATGATCGAATAAGCATGACAATATACTACGATCTCGATAGTACTCGGGACATGCTGCACTATACCTAAGTTGATACACTGACTCCCTCAATCTATGTGACTTGAGGACGAAGGACGACCAGGCCTTGAGTCAAAACTTTACGGAGGACGCCGAAAAGAGGGGGAAAGCACAGAATTTTCGAGACTGTTGACAATCTTCCTAAGCGCCCAATTATAGAAAGCAATGGCTAGCACATCCATCGTGACTCCATTCGTCAACTCATTTTGATCGAGTAAAAGGAAACGGCTCAGGAGTTTCGATCAAGTAAGAGGGCTGATAAATCCGCAGGGAGATACCCGATCGAACCAGCGGAGACGCCCGATAGATGGCCTCGCCCGTCAGGCACCCCTTGTGGAAAGGGTTGTGATTGGCCCGGAAGTGCGGCGATTGTTACGAAGTAAGAAGATTTTACACAGCCGGTATTTTACGGATCGCTTGCCACTTTGCCTGTGGACTTGCGTTCCGATAACCGGATCTGGTAAGCATGAGGGTATCCAGACGATGCACACTGTCCTCCATACAGTGTGTATGGCAGGCTTGTGAGTAGTATGGAGGAGTGATTGTACTTGAGAGACTATATTTTGACTGTCAGATTTGCTGAACAGGAGCCTGAGAATAGGCACGAGCCTGTTTGTTCAAGGCAATAACCGAAGCCAGTCTTTGTTGAAGCATACTCCGTAATTCCTATCGAGTAATCCAAACCGAATCAGTGGGTATTTTGAATGATCGTGATCTCGATCTCCATTCTGGCTGTGCGGATGGCCCACGCACCCCGTGGACGGCGTTCTGGATTACTCGACTGTATCCCCGGGGTCTTCTGCTATATAAGTGGTGAGTCCTTTCAGGGTCGGCCATGATAATAATAGAAAATCTCTGAGATAGGCCTTGCGTTCCTTCTCTGTTTACCCATCTCGACTTCCCCCGATTTTCTGCCGAGTGGCGGGTCCAGAACAATTTCCTTATCCTTATCAACAACTATCAGAACTTTCTTTATCTTCTTATCCTCCCTTATCAGCAGTCGATCAACAAGCCATTTCTCTCCTCTCCCCCACCAATCTTCCCTAGAGGAAACGGCAGAGTTTCTCTCTCTTTCGCTGCTCCGTACCTCTTCTCTCCTTCTCAGTCGTTTCGTCATTCTTTCTCCCTATATCTCTTTTCTTCATACCCCTTCACCATGGAGGCTCCTCCTCAAATGCCTTCAATCTCCGTGGTGGCATCCTCGCGCGCCGTTATCTCCGGCCGTTTGACATCGGCCACCATTGTTATCTCTCGTACCACTGGCAAGATCACTGCAGTCTTTGACTCGGTCATCCCTGCATCTGACTTCCCCGCGGGGACTCCATATACCGACTTTTCCCCTCATGTCCTCTTGCCTGGGTTGGTCGATGCACATGTCCACCTCAATGAGCCTGGCCGGACCGAGTGGGAGGGCTTCTACACTGGAACCCAGGCCGCCGCCTTTGGTGGCGTCACCACCGTGATTGATATGCCATTGAATGCCATTCCTCCAACCACAACCGTCTCCGGCCTAAAGGAAAAGATCCAGGCCGCCGAGGGCAAGTGCTGGGTGGATGTTGGCTTCTATGGCGGTATCATCCCCGGCAATGCTGGCGAGCTCAAGGCCCTGGTCCAGCAGGGTGTGCGCGGTTTCAAGGGTTTCCTTATCGATAGTGGTGTATGTATCTGGCCTCTCTTGCGTTCTTCGCTGCACGCTGACCGCTTTATCCTTTGACAGGTGGAAGAGTTCCCCGCTGTCTCGTCCGAGGAAATCAAGTTGGCCATGAAGGAGTTGGCCGATGAACCCACAACCCTCATGTTCCACGCAGAGATGTTACCCCCTATCGCGGCCTCTGTTGGAGACGCGGTCAGTACCTCCGACCCCCCTGCGGCCCCAGCAGGTCCTGTGGAAGCTTATTCCACCTTCCTTGCCTCCCGCCCCTCAGTCTTCGAGACTTGCGCCGTGCAGGAGATCCTGTCACTGGCTCACTTGGCTCCCAATCTCCCCCTGCACATTGTCCACCTATCGGCCATGGAGGTGATTCCTCTCTTGCGCAAAGCCCGCGCAGATGGAGTCAAGATCACAGCCGAAACATGCTTCCACTATCTGTCCCTCGCCGCTGAGGAGATCCGCGATGGTGACACACGTCATAAGTGCTGTCCTCCCATCCGCTCAAAACTGAATCAGGACAGCCTCTGGGCCGAACTCGAACGCCATGCGGAGGACGGAGTCATCAAGACTGTGGTGTCGGACCACTCTCCCTGCACACCGGACCTGAAGCTCTTGCCATCCCATATTCCTGGCCATCATGCCGCCAATGGCGAGGTCCAAAGCCCTGGCAGCTTCTTCTCCGCCTGGGGTGGAATCTCGTCCGTCGGTCTTGGACTCCCTATTATGTGGACCGAGCTCAGCCGTCGCAAGAACCTGACTTCCGCCCCGGATGACGCCAACACCAAGCGTGCCCTTCAGGATATTGTGCGGTTGTGCTGTGCCAACACCGCGGCGCAGGTCGGCCTGGAGAACCAAAAAGGCGACCTCGTTCCGGGCTTTGACGCCGATATCTGTGTGTTTGACGACGCCGTCGAATGGGTCGTTGAGCCCAGCACCATGCTATTCCGCAACAAGTGCTCCCCCTACCAGGGTCGTACCCTTCGAGGCATGGTCCGCGAAACCTGGGTGCGAGGTCAAAAGGTCTTCAGCCGAGACGATGGTTTCGTCGCAAAGATCCCGACGGGTCACCTCCTTCTCGAGAAGCGGGTTTGATTCTTTTCGTTTCCCCTGATACCCATTTCCTCGATCGAGACTGTTGACAGTCTGCCAGCCTGAACAAAAGCGATTTCTCCCAACCTGTTGACATGATGAAACGATGCATGATGCACCCCGTTACTGACGACCATTAATTATAATGACTTGAGCAGCAGCATATCCGCTGATTCTGATGCCACAAGCGACGCTGTAGATTTGAGGTTAGATTTTGATAGACGAATACCATGCATTGATTAATGACTCTGTTTGTCATTTCAGCTCCGCTGCCCCATAGATTTGGAACATCCTGACGAATAAATCGATTTCTTTGATCTTTCAACAGTATGAAATCGTAACTTACAGTCATCCCACATTATCAAGGCTCCTCTGGCTCTCCTTCTCCTCCCATTTCTCTCTCACCCTCCGCCGCACGCCTCCATTCGCACCCCTTCCCCATATCGTTTCCTGCTCTCCATCAATTTTTTGGATGCGCTCCTTATCCGTCTTGCCGGCTCGACCCCCAACAACATCACTCTCCACCACTTCCTTCCGCTCCTTGATGCGCCTCTCGCGCGCCCGCGCCTGGTCAACCTTTTGAAGATAAATCGCATAGATCAACACTTCCGCCACACCCACCATCAGCGCCGCAAACAAGGACACCAGAAACCGCACCGGCTCCGACGCGCCCCCGCTCACCCTATTCGCACTCGGTTTGCTGGGTGGCTGCCCCCGCCACAATGAGGATACAGAGCTCACCAAGATATCAGGGGTATGGAAGCTCGTCAGCGCCCAGTACACGCTGAACCCGGTGATGAGCACCGAGAGGAAAATGTTCAGTACCAGCGAAGGGGTGAGCGGGTCTGTCGTCTCCGTATCTCCGGCGGGTGCTTTAGAGTCGTGAAGGGCGGAGAGAGTCGGCGTGGAGGAGGAGAAGATCGGCGAGGGCCCGCTGTGCCCTGGTGCGGAGGATGCGAATGTTGTGGCTGTCATGCGGTTGTAGGCGTCAGCTTCGGCGGCGGCGAGGAGCCGGGCTTTTAGGGCGAGGTACTCGGGACTCTAGCGATCATATTGGTTAATTCTTGGCGTAAGGAGAGGGAAAGGTAGGTAGAATGTACAGGTTCAGGTTTCTTAGGCGGAGGAGGGACGTAGACTTTTGTGCCGCGGAGGAGCGAGTTGAGGCTTCTGTCTGGGTTTGGGTCGGGACTGGTGCTGTTCGCTCCATTGCGGAAGTAGCGCGATAGACGGATCACTTGCTCGTGCGAGATTGGCGAGTTGATACTCAGAGGGTCGGGGAGGTCCAGTTCCTTGCGAGAAGAGGGGGGAACGGCCTCGAGTGCGGAGATGATATGAGTGGTTGAGACGAGGAGGACCATGGTGTTTGGGGTGGGTGGTTGGATGTCGACAGGGTAGACGGGAGGTTCAGTCCATGTTTCATCAGCAATATATCGTGATAGGTGATATGGGATGTTGTCTAGGTATTTTGTAGCTACTTGGAAGGATGGAAACTTGGCCAGGCGATACCTTAATGACGACGATGGGACCTTGCCCGATTAGGCAAGTGAGCTCCCCCACATCCATCACCTCCAATCAATAATATCACCGGCTTCATCGCCCGCCATCCTCAGATCGGCCCTCCTTCGCCATATCCCTCTCTACTCGCATACTATCGTACTCTGGAGCTCAGACATTGTCTGCCGTCACTCAGCTCCACAATGGCAGACACGAAATCCAGGTAAGTTGGAAACGCGAGGGAGAGAAAAGTGTATCACCCCTCACATGGCCCTCACAGTCCACCGCACCAGGACTTCAGAACTGACAACCATTCAAATCCAGCACCGTAACAACACAAACGAACCCGCGCGGAATCCCGGCGGCTCCCTTCATCGACAATGTCAGCGACTACGTCGCTTCGCGCGCAGACGTGGAACCCACCCTGCAGCGCTTCCAGGAGATGATCTCCAAATACCAATTCATGGAACTCAACACCCAGCGCCGAGCGGCCGGCCTCCGAGAAAAGATCCCCGACATCAAGAAGACATTAGAGGTGGTGCGGTTCTTGAAGATGCAAAAAGAAGTAGGTCGTCGAGTCGAGTCACTCGACTAATACCACTTTGCAGTGATTGCATGCTGAAGATGGGTAATGGTAGACAAGCTCCTCCTCAACCCTCGAAACCAGCTTCGAGTTAAACGATACCCTCTACGCGCGCGCACAAATTTCCCCCGCCGACACGGACGAAGTATACCTCTGGCTCGGGGCGAACGTCATGCTCGCGTACCCTATCCCTGAGGCCGAGACGATGCTCTCAGAGAAGCTCTCTGCGGCAGAGCAGAGTCTAGCGAACTGTGATGAGGATCTGGAGTTTTTGAGGGAGCAGATTACGGTACGTACAGGAGTACTGTTTCTTTTCCTATTAGTTGCCTGACTGACCTTTGGAATAGACCATCGAAGTCGCTACCGCTCGTGTCTACAACTGGGACGTTGTACAGCGGCGGAAAGAAAAGGCTGAAGGCAAGGGGGATGAAGACGAAGAACCGACCGACAAGCGCAAGTCAGGTGGCTAAGTGATTAAAGCCAGAAATGCAATTCCTCAGTTATGTCATGACGAGCGCCTTGTAGAGCATTCATATCCGGCGAGGAGACTCTCACCTTTTCTCCTCCGTATTCTATGATGACCAATCTTTCGGGATTGAATCGCTGAAGCGCTGCTGTGTTCATTAGTACATCAAAAGCCTAATGGTCATGGTCATTGGGCGACCACTACCAGGACGGTAGAATCATGTGGCTCATCAGCCATGCTGCACTGGATCGGGGATATAAATTGGACTCGCCATTCTATTCGCGCAAGATTCAATTCATTCTATCATCAATAATCGCTGATCAAGCGACGTAAAGGCTTCACTGCTTCTGAGCACACAGATGATCATGGTAGCTCAAAAACGCCAACACCATACCATGATATCAAACGATCAAACCTTATACTCTATGCGGAATGGGCACCGAACCAAGAACGAGAGTTGGAGTGCCTTCTAAACACGACTCCCAAAACCAATCATTAAACAACGTAGTGAATCGCAATATTAAGAAAGAAAATGTCATCAATCGTAAAATATCCCCGCAATGTGGATGTCGCAACACAGCAACACCCACGGCTCAGACGCGTTTAGCGGTCACTCAATTTCCTTCCCGGTCCAGAATCTCCGGGATTGGAATTGGCAAGCAGTCGATCGGGGAGCATATCAGCATCGGAAATCGCCCTATCTCGTAATCTCTTTGACATCTCCATGTCAGTATCGTCGCCAACAAACGTCCACTCCTCACTATCTTCAACATCATCATCAGCATCCTGCTCGGCCATCGGTTTGGCAGAAGGCGTTGGCGAAAACGGCGTGGATGAAGCAATGGAGCGCTGGCGGGCTAGTGTTTTGGCATATTCAAGGTCGCGGTAAATAGCCTGGATAGCAGTTGCTACTCCATCCTCCTGTGATCGATTGTTAGCATATCTGTTATCACGAGCACTTGATCGTAAGAATGTCACTTACACTACGGATCCTTGAGCCAAGATCCCGGGCTCTGATGATCATTCGCTCGCTATGGGTGGCTTCCCAGAGCGCCCGCGAGAAAACGCTCACGTTAAGCTTCTTCATGCAAATCCCCACACCCAAATCTTCAACTCTCGACCCAAAAAAGAACTGATCGCCGAAGAAAGGCTTGACGATCGTAGGAACGCCAGCACGCAAGCTCGCCCCAGTGGTGCCCGCTCCTCCATGATGAACGGCAGCGTCGATGTGCGAGAAGAGCCAGTCATGTGGCGCAGCCTGAATCTGGAAGATCTCTAGCGGCAGTGGTACTTCCGGCTTAGCACTGGTAGGATCGCCGAGCCTATCGGACCATCCTTTGGAAAGAATGCAGCGCACATCGGCCTTCTGGACTGACTCAATGACTGTCTTGGTGAGTGCCGAAGGGTCAGAAACAACTATTGATCCGAACCCGATATAAACTATCTTTTTACCGTCTTCGCGAGCACGTTGAATAAATTCGTACAGGGCGGTTGGAGGAGTCCAGTCGCTCCCCTCGTTAAGAAACCAGTATCCAGTAATCCGAATCCAGTCTGGGTAGTCCAACGGTGGCGGTACTACCGAGGGAGAGTAGTTATAGAGAAATGGGACCTTGTTCGGTTGCATCTTGTCCAGAGTAGTCGCCTTTAGACCGAGCTCGTTTTTCCGCCATCTATTCACCTGCCCGGCGATCGCCTTCCAGAAGACGTTGTCAAACATCACGTAGGTTATATAGTTGTACGCACCACCCATTCTGTGCTCAGGCACAGCAAAGGCATGTGGATAAGCTCTTGTCCGTGACCACGGCATTGTAAAGGCGCGGAAGTAAGGAATTCTCAGCGCCTCGGCGATGTGTATGCCCGCCATTGCACTGGGTGACTCAATGAGAAGGTCGCTGTCCTGGCAGCTAGCCCATGCCGATGACAAAAGATCGTCAATCCAGCCCCGGAACTTTTGCGATGCCTCTTTGAGAAATGAATACGTGAACATCCCATTCTCGACGCAGATGCGCATGAGTTCCGCTGGGTCACCCTCCACCGGAGCAAAATCAATGCCATGCTTTCTCACCCATGGCTCGAATTCTGCATGGGTTGCAATCTTTGGTCTATGGCCTTCTGCAAGTAGCCCTTTACACAGGGCTATGTATGGCTGTACATCGCCTCGTGAGCCAATCGTGAGACAGGTGATCCGAAGAGACTCGGCAGGTTTGAAGTTGACGATGGAAGCGCGAGGATCGTCAAAAATCGGATGTAGCTCAGAAGACTCATTCAAAGGCCGCAAGTCATTTTCACCATAGTCATCAAATCTGGCCTCTTGGAGCATCCGGTGTTCTGCCATCGCTGCTTCGGACTCATTCAGCTCCTGCTCAGCTAGCAAGCCTGACTCTGCCATGAACTTCACAGCCTCCAGATGTTGGTGGAGCGTAACAGCGCAGTCATCTCGAGCATCAGACGTACGAAATTCGAAGAATAACTCTTCATGTCCGCGGATAATAATAACAAGGCCGTGGTAGCCAAATCTGAAACCTTTCTCCTTTTCCACGTTCTCAATATCTCTTAAAGGAAGGATCATCTTTGTACGAGTCCCAGGAATAAGACTGCGGAAACATAGCTTCTTCTGACTGACGTATATCTTGCCATAGAGTGGAAGCACCCGGTGCAAGTATGCAAAGTATGTAGCTTGGAGCTTTTCCGTGGGCGGTAGTGCAAAGTGCGCACGGAAACGGTCGCCATAGTTGCAGCCATCCTCCTTGTCTTCTGGATCAACGTCTTGATCGTCTGGCAAGACATCTTCTGCCTCGCCATAATGTTTTCGACCGCCAGTCCACATTCCCGAGACTTTCTCTATATAGCCCATAGATTCACTGGCCAGGAGATTACTCATTTGCTTTGACCGGGTCCTCAAGTACTCGGCAAGACCTGCTGCACGCTGGAGAGGATACACCCCGGCTTTGACAAGCTCGTTCAGAGAAGGCGCAGCCGAGAAGGATTTAGTCGGATCTTGCGTGTCTTGCTCTGATTCACCGGTGGAATCCCGAGCCTCACGTCCACTTGTATTTCCGTCCATTCGTCTGCCAAGCTCATCGATCTGTTGACCAGTACCGACATTGGCACGCGTGGATACTGATCGAGCCGTTTCGTCAGAATTGCGTCGGCCTCTTCTTTCTCCGCCAGAAGGTCTTCTGTCCAGACCATGAATAGTAGGAGATTGAAAGACATCACTGCGGTTCAAGATCTGGCTCGCTGATTCTGCTGCATCCGTCATCGATTGCCAGGCAGCTGAAGACTCCGTTCCTTGCTCGAAAGAATTCAATATCGAGTCTGACGAGTCCTGGTGTCGGGTTGCTGGCGATGATTTTATAACATCATGCGCGAGGCTCAAATGGCTCGTGCTTGCACTCCTTCTCCGCTGCGTCTCCGCTCTGTCACCTAGAATTCTACTCGTCCCGCCGGTCAACGACCACCTGTTTCGAGATTTGCGGGTACGATCAGACCGAGGCGACCGGTCTGGTTGCGGCGAGAGGTGCTGAGAAGAATTTTTCAAAGATTGGTCATTAATGAGGCTTCTAAGGAACTCGAAAGCTTCTCGGCCGGAGTTGAAGAATGTGAAGAAATACTGCAAACCATGAGCCTTGTGCAGAATGATGGCAATCGAGACACATACCTCATCAATGGCGTACGAATCATCATCCTCAATCACGCGTATTTTGAACGTCTCGGCAAAATCTACCATGGGACTTTCCTCTATGTCTATAATGCTTTCGATCGGAAAAGATATCTTGACGCTTTCCCCCTCGTTGTGAGTCCGAAAAATCACTTTTTGCAGAGCTTTCACCCATTCCTTCGCACTCACGGAGCTATCAGCTCTAAAATAGTACGTTCTCTGGTCTGTGGTGACCTGAAAGTCTCTAGGCTCCCTCCCTTTCTCTTTCGGTTCGGCCAGCGAGGCAGAAATCCCGTATCGAAGATCGACATGACCACTCGGAAAGTAGAGATTTGACGGGTCGGCATAGTAGGAAAGAACATCACCCTTCAAAGAAAACCAGTAGCGGCTGTACTTGGGGTTCTTTCGACCACGTTTGTAAAGATACCCAGACTTGAGAGCCACTGTAGATTTCTTGGGGAGATAGGCGTAGAAGCAGATGTGCCCCTCGGTGACGTACATGTAACCCTGTAAAAGCATGCTCTGAAGAAGTGAGCAGGCATACTCAACAAGGACTTTTTCTGGTTTGTCGAAGCCGAACATATCCATCAATCTTGTAGAAAGGGGAGACACGGATGTGTCGCGAGGGCCCTTGTCGCCACTTTCCTGAGAAGAGTATTGGGAGCGTTCGGTAGTCGACGCTTTCAAGTCAAACTGGGCTTGAGCTTCGACCATACGGCTCAGTATAGGAGCAGCTCGAGGAGTGGCACTGCGCGGCCGTGTAGGAGGTGAAACGCTGGGCATTTCATCGCCCGTTGAAGGATCGGTCTGTGGTTCTTGCCTGGAGCTTGACTTGAGTGGCCGAAATACTTTATGGTCCGATATTGTTCTTCGATGGCGACGGCCTCTTGTACCCGACTCCTTCTCTGGTTTCCCATCGGTCCGCGAACTGGATCTTTGGCTCGAATCGAGGGGGGGCGTATTTGCCGAGGCAGACGTTCCTTTCCTTACAGGAGACTCCTTCCTTGCCCGCTGCTCTGTTTCTCCATCACTGTCACTTGACTCGTCAAACCGCGCATGAAAATCAGACCTGGAGCCAACAGCGGCGATCATCCCAAATATGGATTGTTGCATGTATTGAAGATGGCCCTCGCGAGAGCCAGATCCTCCGGGAGGTGCAGTAAAGTCGACCTGGGCATCGTGATTGTCTTTCAGCCTATCCGGCAAAGCACTGGGAAGAAGACGGCTCGTGGATAGGGACTGTCTGCTTGCGCTGAGCTTGCGGTCCACCTGTCGCTTTGCATCGTCCAGAAATGGGCGCATTCTCGACGTGGATCAGAACCTAGGTGATTCTCTGAGACCAAAAAACGTAAAGAAATGCAGCGGTAGATCGCGGCCGCAGCCTTAAGGGTGGGGAGCGGCAAGACTATGATGACTGCAGTTGAAGGAGTGCGTTGTCCGCGAAATTCGTTGGAGGTAACAAGTCAGATGTCACAACCAGGGTTTTGAGTAAACCTAGTGTACAATAGGCAGATGACCCGGTCAATCAGTCCAGTGGTCAACAACAAGCAGCATGCCCTATAACTGATGAAGGAAAAGGGAATGAAAGAGAATGAGATAAATGACGCTCACCGTATCTATAGTACTCACTGATAAGGGTCTCCAACAAGATTGTTATCAGTGCACCGAAACGCTTGAGGAGGGTGACATTAGGGACGGAAGAGAAGGGCTCTGAGTCATGCTGAAGAGAAAGACTAAGGCATGATCCTTCAGATAGAGATTCACAAAGCGAAAGAGTTGCAGTAAATGAACAACCTGCAGTGATCCTAAGAAAGTACTTAGAGAGGAAGAAGCCCAACGCCCTAGCTTGACCTCTGGCGTCACTTGTCTGTATCAGCTGTTCATCAGTCCTGGGCCCCACCAATCATGGGAGTTGCATGTGATTGAGGCACAGTATCCATCCAATCAGAAGCAGTTTGCCATTGCTCAACTGGCTTATGTCATCGCCCTATTGATCTGCCTGTAATTTACATTACCGTCTCTCCTCTCTGAGCTGGACTGACATGAAGATAGTAAGATCATGGGATGATCAAGCAAAATTCCATGTGCCTAAGTCGCGTCTAAGATCTAAGATCATATGATATCTTATTGATCTTTCTGTACTATGTATCTTTCCGCTGATCGAGTACCTTTGGGTCTAGTACTAGCACAAGGCTGATTGCCGGTATCAGTGGCTGTGCAGTGTTCTCCAATTTGGCTTGGGAGTCTGGTCGAGAGCAGCACTACCTTATCTTGTGGGTATCTTCAAGGCTATAGCTTGTTTTTAGAAAATACGCTAGCGCATCCCTCATGAAGGGACTGGCGACTGACGTGTTTATCCAGCATGCGGAGCATGTCAAACACGTCGGTCAAGCACCTTGTGCCCTCATCAGATTTCAACGTAAGGAGCAGAGAGTCAAGATACAAGGTAGTAATAAATCCCAGACTTGACCCTTGTCCAAAGATGCTTCTTCTTAGAAATCGAAAGACCAGAGTGCAGGCCACCGTAGGCCATGATGCGCAATCCGTGTCAATTGGACAACTTTTTTCGCCTATGAACAACATGAAAATACAGTTCTCATTTCGCCACGTATCAGGCCTTCTCCTTCTTCCGTTTCTTCTCATCTCGCTTTTTGCTTGATTTCTTGGACTTATCCTGTTCGGCTTTCTCATCAATCTCCATCTGGGATGCATGGACCGATTGTTTCTTGGACTTCTTCCTGGGCAAGCCACCCGACTGGGATCCTTCCACTTCTTCGGCGTGCTTCCGTTTTCTTTCCTCGCGATCGGACTTTGATTCTTTGGGAAACTTGAAAGTTGGCTTTCCCTCTCCCTCGGACTCTTCCGAACCCGAACCGATCGTCTCTGGTGGACCCTCTCCACTACCGACTGGGCGAAACCGCATCTTCAAATGTTTCGGCTGCTTCCTTGGTGGTTTGATCTGAGCCTGTGCTGCTGCCAATACTGCATCGTCGGTCCCTAAGCTTTTAGGGAGGTCGATCATTTCTTGTACATGATACGTAGGCATGGTAGTGGCAGGTGCGCTGTAGTATGTCTGCGTCTTCGAATCGTATAGGAGGAGACTCTTCCCACCCAAGTCGCCCTGACCAATGTTTTCGGGTGGGATACCATATTGCACGCCCTCGTGCTTAAGTACTGGCTCCCCTTGTAAGATCTTCGCCAGCGACACCTCTTTGACTTTGGAGAGAGGGAGGAAGGCGGGCGCAGTGATGTGGAAGATTTGTTTGCCGCGAAGGTCGGAAAGGAGGGAGGATGTGGTAGAAGATGGCGGTAATTGCCTCTTCGCAGGTTTGAAGCCTGATGGTGGCTTGTAGGGAGGTCTTGGGTAAAGGGAGTCGTTTGAAGATGAGCTAGTGCTCGTGAGCTTGACGGTCTTCCGAGAACAACGTAAGCGATAGGACTTACATATTGGAAGCCTTGATCTCTGGGGGCGAAGGGACACTTGCAGAATCGGAGCTGGCCGAATCTTCCGACTCAGAACCTGAGCTTGGCGAATCTTCAGTCTCGCGATCCGATTCCGACTTCTTTGTTGGTTCGGGCGATGTCAATCTGCTGCTCGAACTGCTGTCGCTGTCCGAGGCAGTCTTCTTAATTGACTTGGCTGGCGCCATTGTGCTTCGACAGAGCCGTCTGTCAAAGGAAGCGTTTGAGATTTCGATGCGGAGTGTTCGGGACTTGCAGCCTCGGCCTGCTGGCTGCGCTCAAGGTATATTTGCAAAATGCCGGTGAATCAATATAATTCTGTCCCTAACAGAGGCATATATGTATGATTCGTTAAAGTTTTGGTGAAGAGCTGACTCCGCAAGTCGTGAGGTTATTCGGCCGCGAAATTTAGTGAGCGACAACTTTTTTTTCTCCTCCGCGGAGCACAGACCACCCTCTAAAGTCCGCAATCCGCGATGATATGAGATTTTTAGGATGCCGCCTTTTCATTGAATACATACCTTTGTTTCCATTCTCTGGAGCCAATTGCGCCCAACATTCATATCTCATGAAAAGAAAAGCTGAGAAGCAGCAGGCGACTGGTACAGTCTCAATCTCCCGCCATGCTCTTGCTGACTCTGAAGCCGATAGCTAACTGAAATTCTGTCTTAGCTCCGGTCAGCGCTTTTGCGGCGCGCAAAGCTCGGCAACAGCAAGCGCAGCTCGTAGCGCCAGAGAAGACCGCGCAGAATGAACCTGCTGTCGAGCCGCCATCGAAAAGAGCGCGGCGGTCACCTGAGGAGGGGTCCGCGAGGCAGGCCGCTAACGGAAACGATCGTGTACAGACAAGGCGCTCTACAAGGAGGAAGGAAGAGACCTTGAGCTCTGTTGGGCTTGCTGAAAAGCAGCCTCAGAGGTCTGCTGCCGCCCCCAGAGCACAGATTACAGAGCGGACACCAGCTCTGGAGAAGGGAGATGCTGAGACCTCCGATGCCGCCGAGGAAGAGGAGGAGGAGGATATACTGGAGGAAAATGGCGTGGGAGTCATTGCTGTGGAGGATGATGCTGAAGGGTGAGTGTAGGAAGGTCGTTTCAGAAGGACACATGTGCTAACTTTCTACAGCTATGAATCACCGGCCGATGACGTTCCGCAGGTCCAGAATTTTCCACTCTCAAAGACACGGTTGAGCAACAGCAATATCGTATTTAGCGATGAGCATACACTCTGTGTCCGTATCAAAGAGAAGATGGTATGAGACGGCGTGAGACATGTATATGTGCCGTACTAATGGCGACATAGACCCTCGTTTTGTTGGGACATTACGACCTTTGGGTCAAGCGAGGTGTGATTAGTCTGATGGGGGCAAAGTTGCATCCTTCGCCACGGCTCTACAGGGTTTACGCACCGTCTACGCACTCGTTGCCCGTCATCAAGTGTGTAGCTGGGGTTGATGGCGAAGCCGAGATTGAAGTCAAGTCATGTAGCAGTGGCATCTATCGACTCAGGCACTTATCGCCATTGTATCAGCGGATATGGAATGGGAAGAACACCCCAGCGGACAAACTGACGTTGAAGAAAGCTTCTGCGTCTACTAAAAGAACTTTCTCAGTGGTAGGTCTTCGCCCTTTTAGTTCATCCGTCGATCAGCCACCTAACTTCTGATAGTTATATACTTCATCCGACGACTCCTGGAATCGTCATCTGAGGCCACTACATCTTGAAAAGCAATGGAGCTCCGCGATTAGATCGCTCTCGCAGCGCGGGGGACGATTGAAAGTCCTGATCTGTGGTCCCAAAGCGTCAGGGAAATCAACTTTCAGCCGCTACCTCTTGAACCATCTTCTCAGTCCAGCGCCGCAAACCGAAAATAACCACCGGAATACTGACGGCGTCGCTTTCTTGGACCTTGATCCTGGACAGCCGGAATTCTCTCCGATGGGACAGGTTTATCTTGCACACCTTCGCTCTCCATTCTTTGGCCCGCCCTTCACCCATCCATCGTTGGCTGAATCCCAGGATGGTTCGATCATCCGGGCCCACCACATCGGAGCTACATCTCCAAAGGAAGACCCTGACCATTACGTCCTGGCAGCGATGGATCTTATGGACCGCTATCGAGCCCTATTGGCAAGCTACCCTCAATGCCCACTCATTATCAATTACCCCGGATGGATCTTCGGGCTTGGTCTGGAAGTCGCGACATGGCTAGTGAAATCTTTGGGTCTGTCGGATGTCGTCTACATGAGCGAGAAAGGTCCGGCCGAGGTCGTGGAGCCCCTTGGCCAGGCTGCCCATGAAGCTAGAGTTCCTCTGACCACGCTGCCGTCTCAGCCCACCGATTTCGTCAGCAGATCAAGCGCTCAATTACGCTCAATGCAAGTACAATCCTATTTCCATATGTCCCATCCAACCGAGATTCATAATCCACAATGGCTGGATACAACCATGTCCCGGACTCGACCGCTCGTTGTCGATTACGCCGGGCCACGGCAAGGCATTCGTGGAATAATGGTAATGGGCTCTCAGATTAGCCCTGACCTTCTCTACGAGGCCCTGGATGGAGCCCTCGTCGGCGTTGTTGCCGTCGAGTCTCCCAACGCAATGATGGGCCATGCCGATACAGCCGGATTTTCGGGTACCTCTGCACGAGACGCCATTGAGAATGGTAGGCCAGGCAACGAAGATCTGTCAGATGCCGCTTCAGACGTCGGCATGGACGACGTTACGGATGCTTCCCAGGTCGACGCCGTGCCTACATCACCTTCCTCGTCATCTATTGAGTCAATGATAACACGTACCCCGAACGAAGATCTACCCTATCTCTTCGTCGGCTCTGGGAGCTGTAACCCTCTCGACCCCAAGGCCTCAAACTGCCTGGGTCTGGCTCTTGTCCGCTCCATCAACATTCCATCACGCAAGCTTGAACTCATCACTCCAATCCCAGGATCCAAACTCCGAGACGCTCTGGAACAGGGCTACGGCATCGTGCTGGTTCGCGGAATGCTGGATAATCCCAGCTGGGCCATCAGCGAAGATTACTACGCCGCTCGGGCAGCGGAAAAGCGCCACCAGGAACTTGTCGCCAAAGCACGCAAAGGAACCGACACCCGGAGCGGTCAGGACGCAGCGGGTGACGCAGACGCGCAAGGCATGGTGTCCGCCGTACTCAGGGACCGGATACGGCGCGCGAGCAACGTGCCCTGGATGACGGTGATAGAGGACAACAGCCGGCGGCGCCGGGAGGCCGCGCAGCGGGAGAAGTCTCTGTGGAAGTTACGCAAGAAGGCATATCCCGGTAGCGAGAGTGAAACCGACTGGTAGTTTTGCTCGTCGCAGAAATACAACAGTTCACATTACTTGATTTGATTATTGTAACTTACCGCTGGATACTGGATACCAGCGGTGCCCGTTTACCTGAAACTGCGAAGTAGCGATCTTCATCTCGAGGAGTTCTTTTCATCCCGCTACAAGATCGCCAGAGACAAGCTGCGCAGGAGGCATCTATGTATGCTGGACAACAAATCGCATTCACTTTCGATGGCCCTCGTTTTAGCGAATACGAACGCCTCCCGCCATAAACCCTCGTCATACATACGGTAACTTGTAAATCACCATCCTGCCCACGGGCAACTGCCCTACCCAAGAAAACAGAGGGAGGGTAGGCATTCAGCCCCAAAAKCAAATATCAGCTGCCTGATCTCCCAACCGACAAGATTACCGCCGTGAAGGTGAACCTGTATCTACACGGAGGAGATCACCAGGTGACTCTTGATGCCCAAATTGTGTTCGCCGTCGCAGCCCCCTGAGATTCCTGCAGGTGGCTGGTCGAAAGCGGGTCTGAGGCTGGATTGCCCCTTGTGCAGGATGCATTTGCCTTCCTGCAGGTTGCGAAGATCAACTCGGAAGTCGAGATGTCGCAATGAAATGTGACTGGTCACTGGGGATCTCCTTTATCAGGAGATCATCTGCGTCGCGTCTGCGGCGAGGGGCAGCGCTATAGGAGAGATCTATCTACTAATGTCAATGTCAGCCTGATCGTTGCCTGAACCCTGTAGGTGTAAAGTAGTAAGGAACATTACTGTGATCCTAGCGATCATGTCTGCGTGTGATGATATACTTAGCTGGGATGGTTACACTATCACCTAAGCTGATATAATCGAAAGTCGATGTATCATTACCAGTCACTTTTGCCTAAATAACAACGACGATCATTTTTGAGTGCACGAATGACAGGCGGTTTTGTCTCGGATTTACAAAGCCGAATGCATGTTTCTGCCTGATTACGCTTAACAACAGCCTTATTTGATCAAACGCCGCTGCGAATTTAACGGATGAAGAGCTTAATGCATATTCGATGGATACTCTTTCAGGTACTATGAGCGGCTCAGGGCTGAGGAAAGGTAGTGAGAACAAAACCGGACAGGCGACCCCATGGTAGTCATCAGACAACAAGTAAGATGGAGATTGGTGGATGAGGGATTCGATCACATAGCCCCAGTTTCGATCATCCGATACCTAGCCAATCTGAACCCAAGTCAGAGCTTCAGCATCGCAGCCAAGATGGCATCGGCGGTGCCTCAGCGGGATGGGCGGGGTTGTCGACTACAATAGCTGAATTCTCGTAGGTTCCATGCGTGAGGCTAAGATAGAAAGCAGTCTGCAGGAACAGAAATATTAGTAGGAAGCTAGAACCCCATCCAATCAGTTGCCTAATGTCAGAGAGTCGAGATGATGGTCTCCCCCGACGAAACAATCCGATTGGGAAAGTCGAGCATCTTCTCTGCATAGCGCAGGTAAGAGTAAATTAAGAAAGTATCAGGCGCGGGTTGCCACGTGGAGAACTGTGTCGATTGACAAGACAAAAGCTCGATTCATATTGGTCTGTTCATGAGATGGACTGGATTCAGAGTACGCATGGTTTGTAACGGATGGAGTCGAGTCGTGCCAATTTGCCATCCATGGTCACCGATGTGGAACCCGCGCGATTTAAATGTCGGGCTGAGGTGGATCATGCAGTCTCTGACTCGTGTGCTTGCTTACTTTGTTCAAGAGGAAATTTGCATCGATTGTGCTGGACTGAGTCTAAAAAAAGTCGGGAGATGTATCTGATTTCTTCGTCACCTACTATGGAGAATTACTAGATGAAGCCTATACTAGATGCATTGATGGCGTTGGTACTTATGAAAC